ACACAAACACACATCTGAAATTGACATATCTGTTCACATTAATAACAGCACGAGAGTTTGCCCAGTAGGGTGTTTTTGCCATCAAATAATCAAGAAATGGTAGTTCTGGATTGAAAGAGTGAACGATTCTGAGTCGATTGCATGTATTTTTACTTTAAAATAATCAAAGATGCCACTTCCCGAGATCAAAACAGAAAATCATAGAATTTTGAGGTTATATTTTTATTCACTGAAATAAAGTAATATTTTCGACTCTTCCACTTTCAATCTCACTGCCATTGGTAAATTCACGATGCAGAATTTCATTTTCATGCATTTTTTGTGGAAAAAATCAAGGAAATCGGTTAAATATTACACATTTTCCATCGCATCTTTGACGGCATTTTCGATTGAAGAAATAACACTAATAGAACTATTTTTTTCACTAGAATTCAATCAATGCAGTTAGAACACACGAAAAATTATCTGAATTCATCAAAACATCCGATCGAACAAATCCAGAAAGACCAATTTAGAGCGAACGAAAAATGTAAACAGAAACGAGCTGTCATCATGAAATTCGGGCTTGTTTTGATGTTTGACAAGACCGTAACACAACTGCGCGAATCACTGTGTGCGAATTACTTGTTATTTATTCGGGCAAGTGTATTGGCAATCCGTTATAATGTCAAATGAGTCCAGATTTCGTGATGACAGCTCACTTTTGTTTACATTTTTCGTTTGTTCCAAATTGGTCTTTCTGCACTTGTTCGATCGAATGTGTTGATAAATCCAGATAATTTATCGTGTGTTCTAACTGCATTGATTGAATTCTGGTGAAAAAAATTGTTCTATTAGTGTTATTTCTTCAATCGAAAATGCCGTCAAAGATGCGATGGAAAATGTGTAATATTTCACCGATTTCCTTGATTTTTTCCACAGAAAATGCATGAAAATGAAATTCTGCATCGTGAATTTACCAATGGCAGTGAGATTGAAAGTGGAAGAGTCGAAAATATTACTTTATTTCAGTGAATAAAAATATAACCTCAAAATTCTATGATTTTCTGTTTTGATCTCGGGAAGTGGCATCTTTGATTATTTTAAAGTAAAAATACATGCAATCGACTCAGAATTGTTCACTCTTTCAATCCAGAACTACCATTTCTTGATTATTTGATGGCAAAAACACCCTATTGCCCAGCGAATGGACAGAACACAGCAAATGGCACTAGCAGAAGCCAAATTGGTAGCAACACACCGCCAGTTATATATGGATAAACACATTATTGTTGGCCCCTCTGTTCAACTGGAGGCAGAACAACTCAAGCTGTGACTTTATTGAATTCAACTTCAATGGCATGATCTTCAATTCCTTCGTTTCGGAACGGGCGCACACCCAACATACCGCATGATAAACACATGTATATTGACTATGGTTAATTTTCTGAAATTCAAAACCTCTTTTTTATAGAGTTGATTTTTCAATAGAGTCTGAAATGAAGAAAAAAAAATGCAAAAGCTTTGTTTTGGGAAGTGCTGTTCAGTATTGTATTTATGAATCACAATCAAAATTTGCACTGACAACCGTTCTCTTTGATCTATTTTATTCTGCTTCATGACTTTCCCTTGGCATACCATTTTCAATTCAAATTTGTGATGATTAAAAATATATGCATGTGCGACATTGAAAACGAAGCCATTGTGATGGTGTATGCAATAGAGCACATATGACAAATAGCCTATCGAAACATTCGCTCTCTGTAACCGATTGTGGATTTCATGAACCACGTATCCCTTTGTTGTGTACATCATTTTGACATGTTATTGATGCATTCGACATTGATTTGTATTTTGCCACTTCGTTGTCGAATGCTATATTTGGAGCAGACAACAAATTCATTACGATGAACGGCATGAAATCGTATTTATGAGGTGAATCAATTTGATCGAATTTCATCAGCCACTTTCCACGAACTCTATTCCATAGCTATCCCATTTTGAAAAATCAACAAAATCATGCGACTCATCATCAGACAGACACAGTTTTTTTTAAGCTACATTTTGGCATTTCAACAATTTAACACTGGTGTCTACAGTTGCAATGACTGAGCTGATACAATTTCACATTTCAAATATAGTTCATAAATAAATTGGTTCGATAAAATTGCGTCAATTTGGAGTTGGCAATAATTGAAATGATGTTCATCATTCAGACTTTTGCTTCTTTTGAAGTTTGACGAACGGCAGAGATATCAAAAGTAAATAAGTATTACACATTGCTGACGGTTTACATTATAATATGTATAAATTGTGGGCAAATGTGGAACATATTTAATTTGATGTGTCTATGAATGTTTCTCTTTTTTTTTCTTCTTCGTTCTTGTTCTATTCGTGCGGCAGTATTTGCTTCATCGAACATAGCATGCTAATTTATGTAAATAGCAAAGCCGAAAGCAAATAAACGTCTCCGATCCGTTCAATTAGAATGGCTTTGAGCAATCATTAGCAAGCCGATTTTTCTGTTTTCGCCATTTTCGTCATGCACACGATTTGCTTGTTGTGTAAACACATACAATCGTTTTGCTATTCGCAAATTTCCCTTGGAAATGTTCAATCAAAGACAGGCAAAATCACAGTTGGTTGTCTACGTTCGAGCATATGATCGACGCCGGGTCTTACAGTCAAATCCTTACAATTGATAATTCGACTCATGCGTTTGCCGAATGCAAAACCATACAGGCAGCATTTCGGTTTGAATATGGCGGAACGAGATTAACTATTTCGATCATGTTCTTTGTGTTTGATGCGTCGTCGTGTTCGATGCTTTCGAAATTGAGCGTCGATATGCGAATTTTACACAAGTATTTAATTCATTTTCCATCTAAATTAATATTTACTTTTATTGTGTCAAATGATTTTGGAGATAGCGTTCGAACCTTGCCTATTTCTCAATGCAATCATTTAGTCACAAAATTATTACGAAAATAGTTTGGCATTAGTTTTAGCCGGATAATCTCTCTCGTTGTGCTTCGGTTGAATATTTCTATGTTCTTGTCGAACTTTGTCCCAATTGTTTCACAATCGCTTCACAATCGATGTTGCAAATCTGATTAGAGATCGTGAAATGCGATTGCAATTATGGTGATTACAAAAGAGCGTTTCGTATAATAACTCCTCATTTAGTATGAAGGCACAAAAAGTGTATCTGTCGTTGTAAACGCAGAAAAAAAATATTTCATTTCAATCCATTACATTACATTACATTACATTACGTTCGATCGAGAAAAAACCGCACTAGTGAATAACTTTTACATTTAATAGTTTACAGGTGAGTGTGCGAATGGAAAATGAAAACATGGAAAAATAAATATTGATACACAAGCTAGGCCGCCAGAGTTATTAATAATGCTGAATTATTATATTAATTATTTATTCAGATTGGTTCTGATATGGGAGACGAGAGGATGTGCGACAACTTGAGGGGCGTGCGATGGGTTCGATCGAGTATGGTGCATGAAAGAAATAAATAGAGGACTTGTTGGTCATTGCAACAGCCGAATGCATACACAATATCAACAGCAGCGAGTACGAAAAAAAAAGTTGGCATTTGTAATTTTAAATGGATTGCTGGCCCTTTTCAGTCGATTGAATTAAAATTGAAAGCTGCGAAAATCGCTGAATACATGTGATTTTTCGCCATTGTTGTTTTTTTTGTCATCATATAAATACTATTGAATTCATTATCTCTGATAGTATTATTAATACGAATTATAATTTTATTATTCATTTTATTTATTTGTACGTCAACGGTGAAAAATTTCAGTCTGATTTTCGATGGCAATCATATTTTCCACACTCATATTTATGCATGCATATGAATTGCACAGATATATTCAGTTCTCTCGCGCTTCGTATCATATGTATATGCACACTTTTTTGTTTGTTTGTATCACAGCGCTCGTCTCGGTAATTATTTTGGATTTATCATCGGTAAGCAAAATTAAATAGTGAAAAAGCAAAATGACAAACAAAATGGAAACAACAAACGCAGACAAAGGGAAACATAATGAAATATGAATAATTCGGATTCTTTTTTCCCGGTTTCATATAGGCAGGCATATATGTATATTCCGCGCGCGCAAATTTAATTTGATTTTACAAGTGAAATGTAACATTTCCACCGTAATTTAATTTAGTTTGCATGTTTCTTTGTGTGTGCGTGTTTCGATTTAATTATATCATTTATTATTTGGTGGTCAGATGGCTTGGGGCATACTTTTGATATCAACGCAAACAAATGATATCTGATTTGCATGAAATTCTGCATTGGTTTTTATGGGTGTCCAATTCAAATGGAATCGACCGATTTGAGTTTGTGGCAAAAGCTTTAAAGCAGTGTTGCAAATCAGTAGGCATCAATATACTATACCGGCGGTATATACCGAAGTATACTTATATACATAATATGAAGAAGAGCCTTTTGCAATTAAAAAAAAATGATGCAAAGTCATTAAAAATGTTTGAAATGTCAAATTTTAACAAGTTTGACAGTTTTAAGTTTTTTGAGATTGTTTTTACTATGTGTTTATTGATTCTAAAGGCATGGTATATTATTTGTTGTATATACCGGTATATACCGTCACAGTATAATATACGGTATATCTCTCAACACTGCTTTAAAGTTCACACCCATCTGCATTTCACAGCCATTTATGTGCGAATCAAATTCATTTTCTCTGTACTTTACGCACAGACGCACACACATATATCGAAGCAAAGTCGACAATGCGAAACAATTTAATCCGATTACCGTTATTACAACTCTGATGCAATATAATATTACACGCGCTGAAAAAGAAGATGATGGCTAGAATAGGTTCCAAAAGGAAACAAGGAATCATACGGGATGCAAATTTCATTTCCTTATTCAAAACCCATTTTGCCTCGATACACACACTCATGCTCACGCACACCATGAAGAAAACCACAGGAAAATGTAAAAGCTACAAAACACTTACATAATACGTGCAGAACGACTTGGGTACTGGCTGGTTGACCGACTCCGTTGTTGGCGGTGCAAATGTAGGTACCACCTTTGTGACGATCCATGCTTTCGATGAGCAACACTGGCGAGGATAGTTTTTCATCACCTACGAAAACGAATACATACGGAAATAGAAAATTAGTCAAAGGATCCGAGAGCGCTCTTTTGTCGAACTGCCTTTTGTGTTACAATGTATCGCACAAAGCATTTCTCGATGGCTGAAGACCTTTTTATAACTTTTTCTTTCTCTCTTTCTTTTGCATTTTTTTTAAATTTTTGTTATGATAAATTGTGAATGATGTCAACATGGACGAACTATAGATATTTATATATTATATCTGCATCAGTGAAGCGAAATATATTCATTGAAATTGAAATGAAATGATAGCCTGGTGAAAATGGAATGAAGAGAAACAGAAAAAAACGAAGCAACAACAACAACAAAGAGAGAAATGCTTCTATTATGATGATAATTCTTGATTATTTGAATGCGTATCATTTATTCCATCAGAGGGTTGCGTTGAAAAGTCATACGATTTCCTTTGCTCGTTTGTTTCTTTTCTTTAATGCAAACACATTTTCACATACTTCAAATGTCCACTCTCTTCATCCCATGTCCATTTCCTTACTCCATCTCTCTCTATCTCTCTCTCTCTCTCTCTCTCTCTCTCTCTCTCTTTTGCATGTTCATTTTTATTCGATTTCTTCATTCTCTCTATACACCGCTCTTTTTTTTACCATCGTTTCGGCTATTTTGTATATTATTTGTGTATCAAAAATGAAAATTTCTGAGCTGGGATTTTATTTACCCAAAGGATACATGAAATACCATTCTCGGTTGGAATGAATGGTGAAGAAGGGAAAGCACATCGAAAACGAGAGAAGAATCATTTTTCAGTGAAATTGTAAATAGCCGAATAACGGCAAGCAGCTGCAGGTCAGTAATTTTTTCATTGTAAAAATAACCGAAAACCGTACCGACCGTACACCAAAAATGAACAGAAAGATGGAGCAAAAGAATATGGAATAAGAAGCATGCACAAGAAAAATGACGAACAATGTCTTAAATGTGCGAAAAAGACCACCAAACATGATCAACGAGAGCCGAATCGAGGAAAAACTGGAATGAAGAGGGTGAGAGAGATGGGGAAAATGGGAGAATGAGATTGTGTGTACTGTACAAGTTGAAAAATAAAAGTAAACCGAAAGCAGCTAAAATAACGAATCAGCTCGAATAAAATAGATGGTGAAGCGACTGCGGACGAGAATCGAGAAAGGAGAGAAAATGGAACGTGTATTGTCTTTTTAAATCCATTGTAAGTAATGAAAATCCTTTTTTTGTTTGTTACTGTGTTTGCTTTTGGTATTTTATGATTGTGTGTGTGTGTTTGTATATGTGTATGGATGGGTATTTGAATTTTCACTTTGCTCTGTTTTCACCCATTGTATGACAATGTGTTGAATCGAATGCAATGCACATTGATGGTCTTGATGGTCGCATGCAAAACCCATTTTTCGGCATCATTTTCTGTGGCAAATCCACATCATTTCGCTCTTCCTCATTTTCAATTCGATTGTTTTGTTTCCGAGCAGTCAGTGCTTTCCCATCACTATACGAGCATCATTACACCAAACTCTATCGTTCCGTTGAGCTTTCGTTGACCAAAATTACATATGCTATAAGCTTGAGCCAAATCAAATGATGGAAAACAAACGAAACGCAATGCTTGTACATATTACAATTTTGTTTTACATCAAATATTCGTCACAACTATAATTTTGTATATCTAGCAAACAAAAAATTCTATTCATCCTGCTTAAAGAATTTTGGAGCTCATGAACTCTGTAAAATGGTATTTATTATGTACAGTGAATATATACATATAAAATGTAAGGGTTATTCAAGAGCTGAAGAACTTTTCGAGGAAAGTTTCCACAATTATCATAACACTTTCTCATTTCGCTTTTCGGTGAAGGCCCTTTTAATTAAGGTAGCAATTTATCCATGTTTTATGTTTTGCGGTTCAACTTACCATTTGGAAGATTTTCAAACTTTCTTGTCCAGGTTATGTTGGGACTTGGGTTTCCTATTCAAAAATGTGCATGAAACAGAAAATACAAATCCGATGAGAATTAAGTTGGATAAATGGAGCCATGAAGTTGAGCAAACAAATGAAAGCAACAATTACCTGATGCTGAGCACTCAATTCGTACCGATGCACCTTTCTTGACTTGCATGTGGCCGCCCGAGCTGATGTGGTGTATTCTTGGTGGAACTGTAAAATGGAGATAATCGAGATTAAATGAGATTCACATGAACTTATCGCTGTAGGTCAATATATCACAACGAAATTGGTGAACTGTATTGCACAAATGTTAGGATCATTCACGTTTTGGAAAATAGTTTAAACATTTAAATGGTAATTTCAAATTGGACATTTGGATTCGTCAAATCTGTGGAAAAATGAACCGAGAATCCAAATGTACGATAATAATGAATTGGGAGTCAATCCGGTAAGCGGAAATAAAATAGCTGAACTTTATATTTTTATTTGCCATGAGCTCAACGCAAAGATTAAACAATTCGGGTTTGTTGGTCGTTGGCGGTTCGGACAAGTTGAGTAAACAACAAGTGAAAATGTAATGATGCTAAGCGTGAGATAAAAGTGTAAATCATTAAAAAAAACGGCCTTACACAAACAATAATAAAGAAAAGGGAGAAATATGGCTGTTGTTGTTGAAGAAAGCATCACAGTTCGGCGAACTCAACATTTTTTTTGCATTTGTAGGCATAAATTCATATTTTTATGGACACCATCAGAAGATTCGTGCGTATAAGTTTTGTACGCGAATGAATCAGCAGGGGTGTTAAAAAGATGAACTTGCTTATAATTTTCAAAAGAATGAGCGGCTTGAAAATTTATGATCGATCGAAATGAGGAGCGAGAGACCGAAAAAAATTACACCACTTTGAAGATGTAAAGTTTTCCATTCGTTGTTTTATATGCATTGGAAAACCTAATCCGCTGAATACATTATGCACACTCATGGAAACTGGCCTACTTCATCGTTTCCCTTTTCCGGAAATTAACGCACCGGCAACAATGACCACACTCCTTGATCTAAGAGTGTTGAGTGTTTGCAGCTGTGAAGTGTACGTACACGTTGGCATGGGAGTTGTTGACCAAGTACCTCAAGTATCTCAAGATGAGTAAATGCCAAGCGAAAAATCCACATAAATCAAGTAAACACCGAAAATCGATATTCATTTGTCGACTTGTTGATTTATAATCGTATTTTGCAAATTGATTGATGTTGAGCCGAGGAGAGAGAGAGAGAGAGAATGGGAGTGAGAACATGAACTATTATCGATGACGCACGACTAATCGGCGCTTGTTTAATGTATTGAGAAATCGGGCGAAAAATACGGAATGGTGTAAAATGCTCGGTTGGGCATAGTCCAATATGCTATATGCTTTCGGTATTAAATTTGGGAACATTGTATTCATTTATCAGGAAATAGATATTCAGTTCAGACGTCTCAATAACATGCTGAATGACTTACAACATAAAGTAGTATCATTTATGGCGTATTCAATATTTTGCACGTGATCATATTACAAAAGAGCAGTAGCTCCAGCAATAATAATCAAAATGAGAGAGTAAGATAAAGTGAGAGAGAAAGCAAGAGACTGGCAATGATGACAGAAATGAAGCAAAACGAAACGAAACGAAACGAAAAATCGAACGATACGAAAGATAGAGATTGAGAAAGAGATGTTGTTTGTACAGAAAAAAGAAATCGTACACAACGAGCGAGCATCACACGAAATTCTACACTTGGGCAAAAGTAGCGAGAGAGTTCACAGATAGATGAGAAACGGCAATAAAACATGCCAAGATGTTGAACTGTGTATATAAATCTCCACATGTTTCTCACATTAGTCATTGTTGCCATTTTCGTGTGTCTATCAGCGCTTTGATGGCATGGGAGCGCACCATACTTTTCTATTCAAAATACTACACACTCCGTTTTATTGGTGGCGATGCCGCTGCCGTTTGCATTTCACTTGTAATTCGATTTGCCATACACACACACACACACACACACACTATGCATTTTGCATTTGGCACAGAAGAATTATACAAGAGGAACACACTCACTGCTCTATTGATCAGTTCAAAGAATTATTTTTTAAAAGTTTTTGAATTGTTGGGCAACATGTTCGAAAGTTCAGAGTTACACATGAACATGTTTCCAAAACAAAATACCCAATTGTTTTTCACTGTGCTAAAACAGATCACATTTCAAATTCCCAAACGGATGAAAGAATTCCAAATGTTTGTCTGATTTTAACAATGGTCCGACAATAAGGTTTACTTAAATGGCGCACAATTATTTGAATCGTTCCATTAGTTCCATCGACTAGATAAAAGATAGTGTTCGGTTTTATTGTGATTTAAAAATAGATCTGTCGCTCGCATGGAATCACAATTGATGATGGACGAATTTGGGGAGCAACAGAAAGACGGAGAGAGAGAAAGTGAGACGAGAAGAGGTCAAAAGTGTTGTGTCGAGCACATGTGCAAATTCGCATCGATCATTTTTGTTGATATATGTGCGGAAGTTGTTTTGCTTGTGTATGTTAAGATAGCCATGAAGTGCTTGAAACAGAGGACATCATAAAATATGGATCGGATTCTGAGAAATATGAAAAATGCCACAATCATCAACAACATTATTTAAACGAGAACGACAAAGAAAAAAAATGGTGACCGTATCAATGTATTATCAGCAAAAGGAAATGAAAAAGATACTTGTACAATCATTGGCTTGTTTGTTTCTTTTTTTGTTATGAATTTGGCACAAACCTCCACAATTTCTGGACAAATCGAATGAAAAAAGGAGGAAATGAAAAAAAAAAACAAAAAAATATCAACTGGTTCGGTTCGAGTCGAGTCGCATGCAAATAAGGAAGACGCCGACAGACATGCGTAATCAGTGCACGAAGAGAATGAAAAGAGGAAAAATTGTTTCGGATGATGATTGATGTAGACATCAATAAAACGACGGCCAAGAATCGGAATTCCCTCTGGCTATTACTTTTAATGAACGATGGGAGATGGACGGAATTAGATCAAAGAATGCGGTGGAGTGGGCGAAAACGGTAGACACACGGTATAGAAATAGAGAGAGAAAAAAGGCAAACATATATAGATAAGCAAATCGTTATGATTATATCTTGCAGTAAATATGAATGAATGTATAAATAAATGCGTATAATTCCATATTATTTTATGGGCGGATTGTGAGCGGAACGGTGTTTTTTGCGTTTTGATTTAACGACCTTCCATTTATATAAATGGTCAATAAAAAAATTACAAATGCCCAGATATTTTCGGCGGCATTGTCGAGGCCGATGGATCTCTCTCTCTCTACCTCCCTCCCTCCCCAATGAGGAAAACGTTACAGTTGTACAAATTTTGTGCACAGCTTATGGAGAAATTACATTGGCCGTGTACGAAATGTATACAACTGTAATGTTTTCCTCATTGGGTCCCTCACTTTCTCTTACTATCACCCACTCTCCTCGTGTGCAAAGCACTAGAAAGCTACAATTATTTAGATTTACTTGGAAAATTCCAAGCGATTCTAATCTAATATTTCAGTTTCTATCATGAGTCCGGATGTTCTAGAAGAGTCAAGAAAAATAATAGAACCGACAATATAATGCCGATTTTGCCCGAAATGTACAAATAATTTGTATACTGATGTGTGTTTCGTATGATTTCGAATCAATATAAACTATGTACGGGGCATTTAAAATCATAGGCGAAAAATGGACCGAAATTCACAAACATGACGTCAAATGGGGTGGGCTCTTTGAGCTCTTAATTAGATAGGCATCACCAACGAAAAGAAAAATCCAGCCCCAAAAAAATCCAAAAATTTTGTAATAAATATGTTAGTAGTAGGAAAAATTAGGTTTATATTCAATTGTATTTTATCCAACGGATTCACGGTCATTTGCCTGCTGCATCGAACGTGAATCCATCCATTCGAAATAATAGAATTGCCAAATTAGATTGAATTGAAATGGGTGATTTCGGACTATCAAATTATCCGATGCAAGCATGAATGTTTAGTTTGTCGGTTGCCAACTGCAATTTTATGAATGCACTATGATTACGCGGCCGACAAAATGCACACAGTACACACTATCATTGGTTGAGACGTGTTGTACCAAGACAGACAATGTGAAGCTTTTAATAACAAGTCACTTTATTTTCGGTTTTGACTTGAAGCAAACACCATTTGCAAAAAGAGGGGCATAGAGATACTGCGATTGCCACTTCTACAGATTTTCAAACGTGAAGTCTCCAGAAAAAAAATCGTAATTGCAGTTGTGTTTGAATGATAGCCGAAAGTGTAAGCTCAACTGCGGCTTTAAAACAGTCCATGGCTGCGTTCAGACTTAAGAACATGCAAAGATTTCCACGGTCCAATAATCATAATGGCAATCGCAATCGTCGCAATCGCATTGTTATTGCTATTGCTTTTGTTGTTACTGTTATTGCTGTGATTATTAATGTTATCGTCTTAGCCAAGGCAAGAGTATCACGCCACTCTATAAAGCGGAAGAGCATCTATACAATAGAGATTTTGCTGTGGTTTTAAGTGTATCGATAGACGATCCACTCGACCGGTCTATAGAGTCGAGTTTTCTTGTGCTTTCGAAAACATCTTAACCCAGATGAATTCACACAATGTCTATTCCAGAAACGTTGAGAGATTTACGGAATTTCGATGCAAGTGGCGATAGAGTGTGAGGAACCAACAGACTCGAATCAGCATTCAATTCGCTAACATACACACACAGGCACATGCACATCTAACAGCCCATGCAATACACTGTGTACACTGTACACATATGTGACTTTGGAAAACGCTACCAATCAACACGTATTGAAGATGGTCCTTGTTCAACCTAGATACTGTCAAACACACAAACATTATTCTCAAGTCATCTAAAATGAATCGAAAATGATTGTAGTAAATTTGTTTTTAAACTACACACTGTGCCCATTCGATTCAGCAGGCCGCAATCCAAAGCGAACAATAAACACACAATCGATTGATAGAAAAATCATTCTTGGAAATAGATACGTAGAATGTGGATGCCTCATTATCTCCATTTTCGAGTGCATTGATTAGTTTCGTGAGAATTATGTGCTTGTTTAGCATGAATCAAGAACGGCCGATCGAACATTCGAT